TGCAGAGGTGCCATCCCCAATGGCACCTCGTGGGTGCTCCTGTAAAATGCAGCCTGGAGGGGGGAGCAGCCCTGGTGGCAGCCCCCCAGCCACAGCCATGACACTCTCCCTGCTCCACTGGAGCTTGCCCAGCTGCTGTGGTGCAGCTTGATCCTATAATCACATGGGGAACTGGCACACTGAGCACAAAACAATAGTGGTGGGGTGGAAGATCCCTGGTGTGGAGCAGCACTGCAGGCACTCAAACCTGAAAAGGAGGCTCACCTGTGCAGCTCTCACCCATCCAGCCCTGCTCCCAGCAGTGTTATGCTGCTCCACACAAAGTAGGGCTGACTCAAGGACACCCATCTCTGCTCAGCAGATCAGCCCAATAATCACAGTGATTCACTGCAGCCCTTCGCTCGCCTCGGGATCTTTGCTCTGAAGGCTTCAGCATGGGCTGAGCACATGGTGAAGCCTTTGAGTGAGGCAGATAAGGCTCAGAGATCCCATCTGTGATCCCCTCAGCTCACCTGGAGCTCCGCATGAGGCTCCAGGAGGCGAGACAGCCTCAGTGCACGCAGACAGTACCATCACCCATATCCCAGTGGAGCTACGATCCCATTGCTCTTGTCCCCAGTGAGTGCACCAACCTGGAACCAAACTCCCCACAAAGGGTCAGGGTGGCTCTAGGGACCCTTCCTCAAGGGCAGCAACAGTGCCAGATGTGGGGCAGGGGGCAAAGGGCTGCCCACACGCCCCAGGGATCCCCAGAGCTGTTTGCATCTGCAATGGGAAGTTGGTGCAGGAGCTGCCTGCAGCACGGAGCAGGTCCTGCTGCCTCTGCCCGGTGCCCTCGATGGCTTTTGTGGTGAGGGGAGCACAAAGGAAGTTGTGCAGGGAGGAAACCTTCATGTGCAGGAATGCAGGAGTGCAGGCACTGCCCATGTCCTCACCAGGGTCAGGAAAGCAAAGACTTGCACCAGCCAGAGCTCTGCTGTCATTTGGCTGCTGGTACCCACAGCACTGTCACAACTGCATCTGCAGCAGCACAGATGACCCACAGGAACCCCCTGCCCACCTTCCATCTCATGCTTTGGCACTCAGCATGAACTCCAGCTCCATTCACCAGCAGGCAATCTATTCAAAAGCCTCCCAGACCACACTGCCTGGCATTGGGTTGAACCACACGAGAAGGCTGCAAGATAAGACCAGCAGCACCAATACCCCCAAAAGATAGGGGCAAACCCCATAACAGTGCCCTGGGAAGAAGCAGGCACAGGGTGCAGCATCGGTTACAGCTGTAAACTGCACCAGAGCAGCAGGCAGAGCTGCTCCCCCCAGCCCTCATCACTTACTTGATGAAGTAGAAGCCCCCGTGCAGCGTGGTGTCCACCTCCCAGCCTCGGGGCAGCCCTGGAAGCACACAGCAGAAGTGGGGATCATCTTTCCCTGTTCCTGCATTTGGGCATTATACCAGAGGGGCAAGCTTGGTTCCCTCCCCATCACACCAGTCAAATTCCTCTGGCTACAAACCCACCCCCCAGGTTATGAAGGCTCGTGCATTCCCCAAAGGATGCAGCAACACTTCTTTGGACATCATTCAAAGCCCCTCAAACCCTTGAGCTGTAAAGCAGCTTCTCAGCATCTCCAATTTCTGGAGCGTTTCATCTCACACCTCCATCTGTCCCAAAGGAGCACATTTGGGGAGCAGGGCTCCTTTCCTTACCGGCGCAGGAGAAGTGCCCACTCTGGATGGAGTAACCTGTGCTGGGGTGCACCCAGCTCGTGGACTTGGTCTCGTCGCTGTGAAAGATAAGGAGCAGGCAGTGAGTGTTGCAGGCATCCCTGCACCCTCTTTGGTGATAGGGATAACCTATCATTTGGCTGTCATTCCTTTGGCAGCCAAAGGAAAGGAAAGGAGCAGATTTGGGGGAAAAAAAAAAGAAGCATCTGGGACAAAACCCCAAGAGGGGAGAAACGGGGAGCAAGAAGAGCGGATCACATGCAATAGGAAAGCAGCAGGTGGGAACCATTGCTCCAACCCCAGGCTGAGCCCCCATCCCCTGCAGCCCCCCAGCCACGCACCAACCCAGGAGCTGGGCTCCCCCGGGACCCCATGCCCCATCTCCTCCCTGGCCTCGTGGTGAGACCCTACTTGATGAAGAAGATGCGTCCGTCCCCGCAGACACCGTAGGTCCACCTGCCTGGCAGGTCCAGCCAGTCGATATCATCTGCCATGGGCACAGCACCCAGCAGCCCCGTCCTGTGCTCCTCGCACCGCTTGGGAAGTGCAGAACAACTCCTGCCCCCACCCCGAGCAAACACTTGCTTAGCTCAGACCTTCCACCCGGGTTGTGTTTGCTGCTGCAAATAACCAAGGAGGGAGGAAAAAAAAAAAAAAAAGAAAAAGGAAAAACCAAACCCATCAACTTAACCCTCTGAGAGCCGGGCTGCAGGGTTCAGAGGGCACGGCTCCGAGTGACTCTGCAGGGCTAAGCCCATCGCTGCTTCCTCCACTGCCTACTCAGTGTAATTACCGTCAATTAACTCGGGCTGAGTAATGATGGAGTTGTTCCTTCCCTCTCCTGTTCATTTTAAACAATGTCAAATTCTTCTCCCCGTCTGATCTCGCAGCCAAGCAGAGGCAGTATGTAGGGCACCCTGATGACTATCTGCTGCGCCCTCGGTGCTGCCCCATGGGTATTTTCTCTCTGCTCGCTCTTAGCCATCAATTAAACGTCTTTCAAGGGGAAAGGTGGGGTCTGGGAGGCAGCCGGGCTGGGTGACTGTGAGCCCTCGTGTCTCTGTGGTGCCTTTGGGGAGTTTCTCATGGCACAGGGAAATGAGCTGGTCTGGGGTGAGGGGGGGAGAGAGGTGAATGCTGGAGCTGGTCCCAAAGCAGGATGAAGGGGTTGCTCTGCTGAGCAATGCTCGCATCAGAGTGGTTCTCTGATGGGATGTGGGGCATCAAAGGGTCTTCCTGCAGCTCTTGGAGCTGCTGTGTGCAAAAGCATCAGGAGAGAGAAGGGATAGCAGTGCAGCAGAGGATGATGCCACAGCCCCAGCGCTGCTTTGCTGGGAGAAGTGCTGGGGTGCAAAGCATCACACGTTGCACATAAGCTTGGTGCAAGATTGGGCTTCTTGTCTGCATCACACAAACGCTCCAACCCTTATAATGTTCCCATCCAACATCACAGCTCTGCCACAAACCCACACACCCCGAGGTTTGGTGCCACGATGCATCCTGGCGTCGGGAAGGTGGGACCCCACAGCAGCCAAAACACAGCTGGGAAATCCCTGCCCTTCGTGTTCTCCTTGCCCAGACCCCAGCAGCTCGGTGTGGTGCTGCTCCATCACGATGTCAGCTCTCTGGGAGGCACTGGGGACAACGAGGTCACCCCAAAGGCAAAGCTCCCTCCCTGCCTGCCCAGCCCAGCCCTGCTCACCACAGTTTCGTTTACTCAGATCCACCTCCAATCTGAGTCACAGCTCAGCCTGAATCAGTGCTCAGCACAAACACTTCGGTGACCTGAACCAAAAGCATCCAATGCTCCGGGCACAGAGCAGCCAGAAGTAACCAGAGATGTCCTCATCTCAGCTCTCAGGACCAGGAGTTTGCAAAGTCAGTGTCTGCTGAGTTGTTTTTTTTTTCTTTTAAACATTTTTTACATTTTACATTTTTACAGATGTGACACCGAAAACTTCCGAGCAGGAGAATTCCAGAGGGTTGCACACAGCCATTGCACTGAGAGCTCACTGTGAGCAGTTCTTTGCTTTTAACCCAGGGTCAAACCTCTCTGATAACTGCAGCATCACCCCTATGACTACCCTGGGGGTGTGTGGGATCAGAGTCTGTGTGAGATAAGCTCAGATGATCCTAAAAGATTTCCTACCCTCTTCCCACTCCCTGGGAAGGGACGCCTTTCCCTGACTGTGGGTATCACCGAGGTGCCCTCATTCATTTTGGGGTTATCTGTGGCAATGATGGGGTTCAGCTGATCAGAGCTGCTGCAGGGAATCGGATGCCAACAGCAGAAGCAATGGAGCTGCTTTAGGCTGGGGTAAGGGAGGCAGAGCTGTTGGAGGGCTGTGCTGGACCTCCAGCCAAGAATGCTGAGCTCTGTTCTGCCAGGTAAATAAATCAGCTTTTATTGCTTTCCACAAGAGATTTTTTTTCACCTCCTCCCCCTACCCCCCCCTATTTCTCTATAGCTTAAGCCAATGGAAATTCAAAGGGGAAATACCAGCAGGACTTGTTATTTTCTTATTGTTTCAAACCCTTTTAAAACTCCCCGTTCATTCCCGCACAGGTTAGGGGCAGGCAGGCGCACACCGAGGGCTTCTTTAGAACAACTCTCACGCTTTGTGCTTCCAGATGTGGTCCCAGCGAGGTTCCCAACCCCTCTCTGCACCCTTTAGCAGGGATGGCGAGCACGGGAGCATCCCGAGGGCATCGCACCGCCCGTGGTTCAGCAGCAGCAGCGCGGCTCTGGCACCACCTCCCGGGGAACGAACTGTACGCTGCTCTCCGTATCTCCTCCCCTCTCCGTTCCTTTCCGCTGCTCTCCGATCTCCCGTTCACGTTTTTTAGTGTTTTTTTGCTTTTCTTGAGTTAGAAAATTAGGTGTGCGTGGAGGGGGAGCAGTAACCTATCGCCACCTGGATGTCTCCAGCTCTTTCCCCAGGGTCTCTCCTTCAGCCAGGCCTGGTTGGAGGGATGGAGGGATGGATGGAGGGATGGATGGATGGAGGGATGGAGGGAGGGATGGATGGATGGATGGAGGGATGGGTGGATGGATGGATGGAGGGATGGATGGAGGGAGGGATGGAGGGATGGAAGGATGGATGGATGGAGGGATAGGTGGATGGATGGATGGAGGGATGGATGGAGGGATGGATGGAGGGATGGATGGAGGGATGGATGGAGGGATGATGGATGGAGGGATGATGGATGGAGGTAGGGATGGAGGGAGGGAGGGATGAAACTATGGTTGGATGAAGGGACGGATGAAGGATGGATAGATGGATGGATGAAGTCCATATACAAAACTCAGCCCCTACTGCTGTTGAGCACCCAGCAGCTCCCACCTGAGTCCTGTAACAATCAGGGCTACCTGGGGCTGCTTCTCCATTGAAAACCAGGTGCAGAAGGGCTCTGCTTTCCCTCTGCCTCCCCAGCAGCTCCTGGCCTTGCTGCAGGCTGTGCAGTGCAGCCATGCTCTGTGCCAGCCCTTGCTCCTACACTGAACCTTTGCTCTCAGCTCAATCTCTGTTATTTCCTTTTCATTGGACTGAGGCTGTGGCTGATTCCTATCATCTCTATGAGCTCTGATCCTCCAGAGGATGCTGAGAAAATGGCCTTAGCAGTGCTTGGAGCACTCCAGTGAAGGTTTCAAGCTGCCAGAGTGGGGCTGCATGGGAGGAGCAGGTGGAAAGATGGAGGCAGCACAGTGCATTACTGAGTTTGGTTTGGGTTTGTTGGCTTTGCTTTTGCATTTGTTTGTTTCTGTTCTGCTAGGAGCAGCGCCTACTGCTTGAAAGAAGAACGTGGAAGATGTCAGTTGTTGAACAAAGCATTGAAAACAGGCAACGAAAGGGACACATACACAATGTGCTTGTACAGCTGTTACAAGGCAGCACGTGCTTTTATTGCCAGCCACCTTATCTGCAGCATTAGCAGTCAGGGCAGATGGATGCCTGCTGCTAATGGGCTCTAATACTCCGTGCCTTCAAGACTAATGGACAGCTTTCAGAAAGCACTTTGCTACCACCTCCCTTGGCACAGAATGGGACCTTGGGGTTACATCTAAGGTGCAGCCCATCACCTCCGTGCAGCAGAGAAGCACTGGGCTTTCCCTGGAATTGCAGTCAGTGTGTGATTCTCATCCCTCCTGCAGTTACCATTGCCTTCTTCTGCCTGGCAGCTTCAGAAGAAACTCCTTTTTTGTGGGACTGACTGCAACTGGATTCACTTGCAGGCAGCACTTTGGGGGATGCAGTCAGCAGTGACTACAAAAATAGCAGCTTATTTACTCCCCATGTGCTTTGCTGACAAACAAGTTCTGAAGTCCCCTGGAGAAGATTCAGCCACAGAACAATTCCACTCCAACACGGATAAATCGTCAGCTGAGCTCCAACTGCAGCCTTCAGTGCTGATAGAATAAAAAAAAACACAGCAGGATTTCTCCATTCCAGATGGCACCTTGATGTGCTGCCAGATATGGAGGAGCTCCCATTTAGCAACACTAACTGTATTTCTTTAAGCTGAATCAAAAGAAATTACAACTCTCATTCTTAAGGCAGATTTTGGAGCCAGCAGAACAGGTGAGCACGGCTTCAAAAAGCTGCTGCAGCTCACAGTAACTGCGTAGGTTTGTTCTCTGCTTTCAAGTCCTCAGAGTGGGATGGCACTCCAGGCAGTTCCAAATGCTCCTCCTCGTCCAGCTCAGTGCTGTTACAGAAAGAAATGCAGCATTAGGTGGTTCCAGAGGGGCCTAGAAGGGCTGGGAGCACAGGGTGAAACTTGCTTGTGCTGTATGGGGACAAACACTCCCCTCTCCTGTTCATACATCATTACAGCATAAAGGAGAAGAAATAATTTGCTGAATTAAAGGCCAACTCTACAGTGCAAAACATAGGGGTGATCTGGCTCTAATTAAAGAGCTCAGCTGTTTGGCACTCCCACTGACAGAATGACACCTCACATTTATCCCAGCATAGAATGGAGAAGAAAGAAAACACATACATGGTACCTTCCCCCACCCCCCCAAAGGAAAACAATGCAGCCTTATCCTGCAAATATCTTTATTACAATTTACAGATTAGTTCTGAATAGTTTCATTATGTACAGAAATAGAACTTTAGATTTATAAAAACCCAACAAACTCGACACAAATCAATTAAAATCTGTATAAAGCCAACGCTGAAGGTCTTCTGGCTTTCTCTAAATCATACAAAAATAAAATCTGGTAATCACAGTTTTGATTTAAAGTTCAGCAAGCACTGGTTTTCACATCTCACTTAAACCACACACACACACATCCTGCAAGACCACCTTAAGGTACATTTTAGGGAAAATGGTGACTAATAGGCTTAGCTTGCTCATTAATTTAGTGTTTTGTGACTTCTTATCGCCTTACATTGGACACTTTGAAAGCATGAGGTTTGAGAGGAAGGAAAGGACTTACCAAGCAGCAATTTGTCACTGAGAACCACCAGTTTTAGGACTGAGTGCTCGTGTTGAAACGAATTATCTCAGCAATCAGAAGTGCTGTTGGAAGCAGCAGTTTGGCAATGGAGTTTGGGGACCATTTGTCAACTCTGCTCCTTTCAGCTGCAGCCTTTCCCAAGTGTCTGCAAAGAGTGGAGCAGCGTTAGCAGCTGTTAATTCACATCATTCCAGAACTTCATGCCAACACCAGGTGTGTCAGCCAGAGCAGCTGGAGCACAGCAAGCTCTCCCAAAGCAAATGGATGAGGAATGCCACGGAAAAATCGATATGGTGTATTTTACCAAGAGCAAGGAACAGCATTTTGATTTATCAGCCATGCTGGGGTCACACAGCAACATGTTTTCTGTAATTCTAACACATCAATCGTCCTGCATGCTTTTTCCTGAACAAAAAAGCAGAGCAGTTATCAAACAACACAGGAAAATTTACTCCTAACCACAGAAAGCTGTTCCATTGAATTCGAGGGCATGATCTGATGAGAGAAAAACGATTTCTTCATTCCAAAGGGATTCAAGCAATGTTGCCTGGCTTCCAATGAACCAATCTAAAAGACCAACGAGCTCTGTATTATTGTGGCAGCTCTCCTGCATTTCAGCTGACCTTCCAAATTCCTTAATTCTAACATTTCCAGCCTGCAGCAAAGAAATGCAATTTTTAAATCCAAAGAAACTGAATACAAAAAGCGTCAACCTTAAGAGCTCTGAAATTTGAGACAAATGAAGCCGGGGCCAAAAATAAAGAAGAAAACTCAGTATTTTGTGAAGTTCTTCTCTCCACGTATCCATCACTTTCTTTTGGATTCAAATCTGAATTCATTAGAGATGAGAAAACTGAATTGTATACAGCTTTCTCCCTTCCAACAACAGATCCACGTGTGCACAGCTGAACAAATCAAGAAGCAAATCATTTACTCACACCACATTTTGCAAACTGATAGGAATTCTTTAGGTTTAACGTTTGATATTTATTTCACTGCACAACCTCATGGCCTGGCCAACTAAAATCCAACATCTTTCAGCTCCAAAAACATACCCAAACTGCCCTGTTTTACTTTGACTGAGCAGCAGTGAAACACTTAAAAGTTAGGAGCACCAATAATGTGAGCTTTCCTTCCACCGAGGACCTCAAGTGTGAGATCCCAGACATGAAATGCTGTTTGGATACCAGGTGAACAAAGGTGAAGATGCATAGAGGTCTTAATACTGCTTTTGGTAACAACACAGCATCCCCAGTGTTAGATTTCCAGAAGCTGAAGATAATTCTCCTTGCAAGGACCAGATAAAAATAAAAATGAAGAACACTCCACTTCAATCCACCTTCAAAAAGCAAAATCCATCACGGTGAAGTTGTTCCAAGATGATCTGAAGATCATCTTATGGTGCAGCTCCCCATGCACAGCTATCTAAACTCAGAGCACGAGCTGCAGCTTTGCTATGCCCTGAAAGCAAAGAGGTGGTTCACCAGTAGGCAACACCCTTTGGAACAGGACTGGGTAAAGGTATTACTTAAATAGAGACAACCCAAAGGGTGTGCAGTGCACCAGAGCTCCCCTGAATCCCTCAGTGTCACAGACTGAAATATGAAGACATCAAAGTGTCACACAATCCATCAGTCACACGCAAAACTGGGATCTTGAAAGGAAGGAGAATCCACCTGCTTTGCACAGTAAAGTTAACATTAACAGCTAACAAAAACTGGAGACTTCTGTACAGGTTAGAAAAAATAAAGAACCACACAAAAACAGCACATGCCAACACAAACTTTAAATCAAAACTGTAATAACGAGGTTCTGAATCCCATAAATATTTCCTTCAAAATATGTTTTGCTTTTTCAAAGTGCAAAATTCCAACTTAACAGCCACCACTTCTCAACTTACGGCAGACAAGGCATTTTTTTGGAATGGATTTAAGCTAAAGCAGTCTGTTTCCTCAGGTGTTACTTAAGGGGAACACAATTATACCACCCTCAGCCTCAAGGATACTCAAAAGGTTTTGTCTGTCTATCAAAATGGGACACACACAAGAGCATTTGTGGCTGAATATTAAACTAGGGAAAAAAAGAGTTCAAATCCCACTTTTCTCCCCATTTCAAAACAGCACACACAGCTGCCAATTCTGGTTTGGAAGATGTTGATGAGTGCTCAGGGTCACACAACCACCAGATGTGTTAAGGTGCTAGAAGAGATCATCCTCCTTGTGGTTGGTTTTTTGGAGTCTATTAAAAACTCTCTGTCTATGCTCTGTGGTGAAGCAATATCCTATGGCTTCTTCTGTTTCTTGGATGCGTTTCTGGAACCTGCAGCCATCTCGTGCCAGCTCTTCCCAGGGTCCTTTACGATCCTCCTCACTGCTCACATAATACTCTGTGACTTTTTCAAGGAAGGTCACCTGGAAAAGACATTATTAGTTAAAGCATTAGCCACACATTCACACAAAATGAGCTTACACCTTATCTGTATGGATGATTAAATACCTTCAAAGCAATTTTCTATGTCCCAAACACCAAAAAATACCCTCAGTTACACCACCAGCCCACAGCAGGGCTTTGCAGCAGCCAGACAGGAGTGTATTTCACCTCTAGGGTTTAAAAGCAACCTCAGCTCCACTGGCCAACCTCTCCCTCTTCCCAAAGCAGTGCTTCAACCACCACGTGGTTTCTAAATGGTGGCTGAAGGTTCCGTTGCACTGAGAGTAGATTACACAGCATTCCCCATGAAATAACACACATCACCAAAACAACATGGGGTTCTGACCTCACTCAAACACAGCTCCAGGTTACCCTGGATGATCCATGTGTCACAAGAGAGCACGCTGCTCAGAAACACGTTACAGACCCGGGTTTCTGATTACATACATCATAAAGATAGCAACAATCATTGTTCTGTACAGTGAGTAATCATGTGAGTCAACTCCAGCACTGATAAGAAATCCTACATATAAGGAAAGGTTTACTGTATGACTGGAACAAACCCATCTGCACAGGGGAGTATCAAATTTAATAAAAGGAAGTTGAAGTCAACACACTTTCAAGCACACGTGGAGCTTCTGCACTCTTCATTATTCTTAAGGACTATTGAATCACTTTCAGGAAACAAAAACTTACAGGCTCAAGTTCAAAACTCAACAGTACTTTCCCTATCACTGTGAACAGATTTCAGTCCTGTTGTTGAGCAGTAAGTAGAAGCTAAGCTACTTCAGATGCCTACAGAACTAAGCATTGCTTTCCATTTCACTGTGTAAAAGGCTGAAAGCTGAAAAGGACAGACCAGCTGGCTGTCAGAGCTCCCTGACTTTCAGACTAGGATCATTTCTTGAAGATAAGGAAACCACTGTGGTTACAGATGGTTCTAGGATTGGTATACATTGAATTTGCAGTAGGAAGTCCAGGAAGGAATCCGGAGATGCACCAAACATTTGCTGCTCTGTTCCTGTGATTATTAATAGAGAATATAAGAGTTTCACACCCAGTTCACACCAGCACAATCAGGAGTGCAGGGTTGGATCTATGCAATAGGGCAACCTTCTAAGCTGCAAGAAAATAAGAAGGTAACAGTTATGGGAGAAATAAAAACCAGCAGAGAACACAGAGCTGAGCTGTGCTGAGAGCAACCTGCTGAAATCCCATTCCAGTGCAGTGTTCTCAGGTTACTTCCCAGTAAGAGCGTGGGCACCAAACCCCACACGTCCTTCTGCAGAGAGAATGCATTTGCTATCTTGTAAAGCAAAACAAAAGGCTCCTGGGCTTTATGACTTCACAGATATTGCTGTTTGATTGCAGGATGCCACACAGGAAGCGGCCCTGAGTGGTAGAAGTGACTCAAACATTTCATGGGTCAGCATTCAGAGACCTCAGCTTCATTTTGCAGAGAGGTCTAATTAAGTATCTGCCTGCAGGCACACGGAGCTGTTACATCAGCCTATCCCTTTGTGAGTTACCACCTTTCATCCTTTTTACATCAGTCTAAGGTACCCTTGGGCACAATTACTGGATTTGGTAACATTGTGCCAAATATCGTGGTTAGATTCTGTTCACAGATACAAACAGTAAACTAGTTTAAAAAAAAAAAAATTAATGCAATTGGTTACTGTTAAATCTACTTCCCAGCTACACAACAGGATTTTAGGCCATGAGCATCAATCCACAGCTGGGCTCATCTGATTCAGAACAATGTCAGTTACAAAGGACATCTTGCAAATAATAAAAAAAAAAAACAACCCACACCCATTTCTATCCAAATGGAAAAATAATATTTAAGCTGTGCTAACCCTCAAGTTTGTCACCATCACCTGCCCCAGCGAGAACAGGTATGAACAGGTATGAAGTTACACCCAAGCCAGGCTCTCAAAGAGGTAAACAGATCCCTTAGTGCTAAGAATGCTACTTTTCCTCTTTGCAATCTTGTTATGCTGGTCCATTCTCCTGGGACTCAGCATCACTATTAGTGACACAAAGGCTGGAAGTGTCAGGAGAGACTCAAGCACGTCTGAAAAGCAGCTGTGCACATCTGCAGCATCACAGACCCTATCAGAGGGCACCATGCTGACAGAATAGATAATGAGTGAACCCTTCCAAACCTTAATGATTCTGTGCTAAGTGACATTTTACTTGAATCCAAGCATGCGCACTAAAAGGTTTAACACCCCAAGGAGCATTAATGCACCTTACAGTGAAACTTTAATGGCTTCCTGCAGCACGTGCCAACTCAAAACAGAATTATTTTCCTCCTCCAAAAGACACCTGGTGTCTGTAACCCAAGCAGGTCTGACACACAAAGCTTACAACACAAAGCCCTGGTTACCCTATTTACACACCAAGGTCCTGAAATACTTAACAAATGATTCATAAGAGAAAAGGGTACTTTCCAGAGAAAAAACATTGATCACGATTCTCCTCTGCTTCTCTGATGATGGAAATCAGAAGGCAAATAGAACACAAATACAGAATGAAAGTTACGTCTTAAAAAGAAAATTTCACTTTGAATCTGGAAATGAAACTTCAAGAAATTCCGTGCTCTGTGTCACTGAATTATGAGATCTGCAACAACGTGAGGCACGCTGCTTCCAGCCACATAATTAGACCATAAGCTCACAGAGCATGATTTGGCACCACTGCCACTGGAATCCTGGTGCAAATGACCTCACCCACATACCACAGTCAAAAACACAAAGCCAGAAACAGAAATATACCTTTTTCCTCTTGGTACTTCTACATTTTTCACCAGAAAGAATGCCATGCTGCACCAAGTCTGTGACCCCACAGTTATGCTTTTCCAGCTGTACCTGACAGACAGTTAAGTGACTATGCTCAGAAGTGATCAAACTCAGCCCCTCTGTTCCTTTGAGGCTGGGCTTCCCTCTTTTCTCCGCTGTTTGAAAGGGTGCCTTGAAATTTAAAGGGTTATAAGGATCATCTGAGGTACAGAATGAGTTCCAAAGTTTCAAGTTTTCTGCCTCGTCCACGCTGCTACAATCCCACTCGTCCTCATCTTCCGAACTGGGGTGAGAAGAGCCTGAAGATGACTCTGCCCACGAAGAATCCTCCTCCTCCTCCTCTTCCACATTGGCCATACAGGGCATACCCTTCCCCGACTCACTGGAAGATGTCTGAATGGTTGCAGTAAAGTTCTGAGGGTTGTAAGGATCCAAGCTGAAGAAGGAGTTCCAGAGATGCAACCTCTCCCCTTTCTGGCTACTGTCATCTGAATCTGAGAGCAGCCCTTCGCTGTCAAACCCATCATCATCATCATCATCATCATTATCATCATCCCAGTCTTCCTCATCATCCGCACTCTCCTCCCCACTGGAGCTCCCCCCCAGGATGTAGTCTATTAACTTATTAGCACAGGCAGGCCTGGCCGACACAAACAGGTTTCTCTCTGTTTCAGAGCCCTCCGCAGCACAAAGTTCCTCCTGCACTTCTCCCTTCTCAGCCGAACCCCGGGATCCCTCCAGCTCATCGGGTTGCCTCCAGACTCCACGCTGCTCGCAGTCCCCTCGCAGGGCTCCCCTGTGCTGCTGCTGCTCCTCCTCCAGGCTGTGATACCCGTGATCCGGCTCAGGCACGGCCATTCCCCGCAGCCGTAGGCAATCCAGCCGTTTGCTGCGGAGCTGTTCCAACTCAACCAGCCGACCCTGCCCTCCCCACGCCTCGGCGCTTAGAGGCTGCGGCAGATGGCTGCTGGATGAGCGGCACTCCGGGCCGTTTGCTCCCCGAAGCACGAAGGAAAGGAACCCGGCGTGAGGCACAACCAGCCCCCGGGCGGGCTCCGCGCCCTCCGTTCCCTTCTTCTCCTCGGCCCATCGTAGCGCTGCGGGCGGCAGCAGCAAAGGAGGCGGCGGAGCTGAAGGCCCAGCGGGGCACAAAGCGCTGCTCAGAGCCGGGCCGGGCCGCAAGCGCTGTAACAGAGCGGGCAGAGGGGAAAGGAGCTGAGAGAGCAGCCGCAGCCAGGAGAACGGCGGGCTGGGCTGCGGAGGGGCCGAAGGGGAGGCGGAGGGTTGGGCCGGGCCGGGGAGCTTAGGCCAAGCGACGGGGAAGCCGAGAAGAGAGCCGGGCCGAGCCGGCCCCACGGCGGGGCTGGGCCGCTGCCGGCCGATCGGCTCCATGAGCGGCGCGAGAAGGGTCCTCAGCGGTGTCGGAGGCGCTGCCGGGGGTGCGGGGCGGCGGGGCGGAGCGTCGGGCCGCGGGGGCTGGGCGCCATCCTGAGAGGATCCGGGCGGCGGGCGGCGGGAGAGACAAAATGGCGGCGCGGGAACGAGCGCAGCGGTTACATCCGGCCCCGGCCGGCGCGAGCCCTTAGGGGCGGGTGGCGAGAGACTGCGCATGCGCGAGACGTCACGCTACGCTGCCGCTCATTGGGCGGCGTTGAGGCCACGCCCCCACGGAGGGCTGTAGGAGGGCACCGCCCACCTCTCAGCGTGGGGATTGCATCAGCCGTTGTGCTGCGCGGTGTTGCGCCCCCTGGCGGCGTGGCGGGGAGCAGCGCTGCTCCGACTGGGAGCGGGGAACATTCCGTCATGGCACGGCTGGGTTGGAAGGGACATCAAAGATCACCTCGATCCAACCCCCTGTCGCGGGCAGAGTTGCCAACCGCTAAATCATGCACGCCTCAACTGGACGTCCCCTCCTTAATTTAAAGCCATTCCCCCTTGTCCTATTACGTATACGAGCCTGACGCTCCTCCCCGTGTCCTGCTCCCATTTCCATCCCTATTCCTGTCCCCATCCCACTGCTGCCCTGCAGGGTCACACGAGGTCCCACGCAGTCCGGTGCACTTCATCGCTTTATTTTCACTCTGCCGTGCTACAGCCAGGAGGGTCCCGCTGCTGGGGGGTGCCCCACGCCACCTCCCCCAGGCCACCTCCCACTCTCGATACAGTCTTTAAAACTTTTAATATAAAGTTTAAGTTCATTATTCTCGATCCTGAGAAACATTTCGTCCGTTTACGGAGCTCTCGCTGTAAACAAAGCACCACAGGCACCAAGCCTGCACCCCAGCACAGGGCCAGGCGGGGGGGGGAAAGGAGGTGGCCGTGCTCCCCAGGGGGTGTTGGTGGGGATCTCCCATTTCGGGATGGGCTCCCGCCGTGCTGCTCTCCTTTGGGAGCAAATCCCCTGCGCTGGGAACGGCCTGAATGGCATCAAAACGGGGAACAGATGTCCCGAAACCAACCTTGGCGATGCCACCGCCCCGGCGCCTGGCCGCATGCTACACGTTGTCATTAAAAAAATTAAAATACAGATATCCCAAAGGAAGAATTAATCCCCCCCCCCGCCCCGATGCACCCTGACACTCCTCCCCATCCAACCCCCCCAGCATTGCTCCCTTGACACAAGGTAAACTTAAAAAAGAAGACGTCTAATGGCAGCTCCCTCTGGGCACCTCCTGGCATTGGTGCCCATTCCAGGAGCTCAGAGCGTGCCGTGGCCGCGGGATCCAAGGGCAAACCACCCCATCTTCTCCTGTGCCAAATCGAGGTCCCGCAGGCGGATGCCGACCTCCCCAAGGAGAATGTTCTCCCAAAAGCCTTCCTCGCTCAGCACGCTCAGCCGCAGCTCCCGTTGCTGCAGGTCACCCCGAGGCACCCCATCATAGACCAGCTGTGGGGACAGAGTGGGGCAGAACCTCAACTACGGACTCCAACTGCCAACTGTCCCCCCATCGTCACCATATCCATCCTCATCTCCACCCCCATCACCACTCTCACCCCCCATCACCAGCCCCAAACATCATCACCCCCATTGCCATTGCCTTCCCCATTCTAATCCCCATCGCCATCCCCATACCATCTCGTTGTAGGTAGGGTTGCAGGTTTTTCGGGCCACTTTGGTTTTCCTCTTAGTGGTTTTCTGGGGGTCAGGCAGCAGGTAGGTCTTGACGTAGGGGTCAGGGTCATTGCCATCCTGGAGGGGCTGCTGCAGAACACAGCATGGGGCACCCTGTGAGCCTGGCAGTGGGGCTGGATCCCGTCCCCATCGCCGCCAGGACACTGCGCACCTACCAGCCCCCGGATGTGCATCACCATGATGAAGAGCTTGTTGTTCTTGTAGGAGATGGAGAGCTTCACCTCCCCGCCGACCTTCCCCAGGGGTCGAGCCCATGTGGTGTCTGGAGAGGAGGAGGAGGGACAGGGGAGGGGAGCAGGAGGGACATGGAAGGGCCATGGATGGGATATGGGATTCACCCCAGCCCACCTACCTGCCGGCTTTGGGGCTGGGTTGGTGCCAGCTGCCTTCTCATCCCTGGGCAGCGGGTGGAAAAAGGTATAGATGAGGTCACACTGCAAGGTAAGGAGGGGCTGTTACCAGTGCTTCACATGCCACGTTTGTCCCATTGCCACCCAAGTTATCTTCACCAGCACCCCCAGCCCACCCTCCTGGGGTCCCCCAGCCCCGCACCTCGGCCACCTCGGGGGCAGCGTGGATGAGATGCCATATGTAGCCATTAAGTTCTTCTTTCCTCCTCTCAGCCACTGCCTCTCCTCGTGACCGGCCAATAATGAACCTGCTGGGGAAGCTGTCAAAGGGCACAGACATTCAGTGACCCTGCAGGGCATTGGAAGCCCAGATGCCAGGTCTGGGGGTACCTGGGCAGCAGCGAGGAGGGGAAGAGCAGGCGCAGCTTGTTGTGCAATTCCTGGAACTCCTCAAAGGTGCGCTGCACAAAGGTCACCTCGCTCGGGCTCTCCCGTTTCACCTTCACCACGTAGGTCTGCAGGGAGATGGGGCTGTGATACGGGATGGAGGCAACAGGATGCCCCATACCCAGCCGTGTCAGGGATTCAGGGATACAGAACGCTCCAGGACAGAGCGAGATGTTCCTCTGCCCATCTCCTCGGGCTCTCCTCAGCCATCCCAACTTACATAGCCCTTGCTGGGGTTGAAGACCCTCTCATGGCGGCAGAGGAAGACATCGCAGATCCGGCCGGACGTCTTGATGGTGTGTGTGCGGGGGGCAAAGGAGAGGGTTGGGCGGGCATCAGAGCCTGTGAACTTCATCTGTGCCAGGTTGTGGATGAAGAAGTTGAGCTTGGTGGCCACACTGCCCAAGCTGGACTCAATCAACCTGCAATGAGGCCACGTGTTAGCATGGAGGCACTTGGCTGAGAAGCAACTGGTGGCCATGCCTCTCTCCTGGGGGTCACCAACCCACGTCCTGTACCTGGTGAAGTAGGTGGTGGCATCAGCATCAGTGTCCTGTGGCCTTAGTGCATCGTAGACATATTTGAGGTCCTCCAGGTCGGAAAGTTCAGGGATGCCACAGGACAGCATCTGGGCAGCGAGGTGAAGGTGGGTGATGAGATGAGGACACATCTCCCAGCCACCCCAGGGCCCTTCTGAATGTCCCCAGGTTCTCACCAGCCCCAGCAGGTTAAGGAAGAGATGGGTGTGCTTGCGGATCAGGTTATAAGCCTGGCAGCACAGATCGACGAAGTCGTGGAAGCGGCTGGAGGGCTTGTCCCCACCATTGATGACGTATGCCATGTCTGAGGTGAAGACAAACGGTGCCCGGTCCCTGCGTTGGGGGTACAGAGTGAGCACAGAGGCACGAGGAAAGGAGCATCACCCATAAAATCAGGAGGAACCCCAATGTTAAGGAATCACAATCCCAAGTGGACGATTGCAGCGAGAAGGAAGGTGCAATCAGAGGCATTCCTCACCTCTTGATGTTGCCAAACATCTGAGCGTGGCCCAGGAACCTGCCAAAATCGATGTGAAACATGTGGCCGGTGGTTTTGAGCATGATGTTGTCGTTGTGCCGGTCGCAGATCCCCAGCACATAGGTGGCCACACAGCAGCCAGCGCAGGAGTAGATGAAGTTCTCCACAGCCTGATGGAGAGAGAGGGAAATAAGGGGCAGCTCATCTATGCTGCTCCACTATGGGATGTATATCATCCCTGGAGAGGTGGACATGCAGAGCAGGGACCCTGCCAGGCTGCTCCTCACCTTCTCATATTCATCCTCCTCGGGGTTGTGTTTCTGCAGCCAGTCAGCCAGTGGTCTGTCCTTAAAGGAGCCCGTCACACCGTGCTCCACCTGGATTTTGCGTAGGGTCTCGGCGTTGGGGATCATCTCCACCATGCCTGGAAGCCGAGACAGCAAGGTGAGTCCTGTCCTTCCCACCCGGGGAGCACCAAGATCCCAGCACCATTCATCACCAACCCTGATGTGACCATCTACAAAGTCATGTTCCTACAGACAGTCTGGAGGAATCAAACCCAACAGTGGCTCACAGCAACCCACAGTGGCTTCTCTCTACAAAGCCCCAGGGCCTCCCATGCTATTGCCAGTCTGAGAGCATCACTACTTGGTGACTGATGCTCTGATGCTGGGTTACCTCGTCCACGGCCCGTGGAGAAGCAGCGGAAGATGACCATGCGCATGTCCAGCCCCTCCTGCACCCAGATTTTGTTCATGATCCGGATCATCTGCAATGTCAGCATGTCCTGCCGCAGATCATCGCCACACTGCAAGCCCATAAGGAGCCGTCAGACCAAGGGTGCCAGGGGAAGAGCATCCCGCTGGGAATGGAGATGCTGTGCTGTGATTTGGGCAGCGTCGGGAGGATGAACTCACCTTAAAGATGACCCGGATATTTTCTCCGAGAGGATCGACGTTCTGGAAGGAGAGCTTCAGTGGGACGGCGTTGGAGTTGAAATAGGAACAGTCCTGGCACCGGGGAAAGAAAAGGCAGCTCATCAGGGATAAGTGGCTCCAGGTGGGTGATGATACCCCAACCCCAGCACTCACCCGGGGCACGATCCCCTTCACCAGCAGGCTGGGGCTGAGCGGCAGCCGGCACGACCCGTTAGCCTTGAAGAACTGCTTCACCTCCTCCAGCCCCTCACGCAGGATGCCCTGTGGGGAGGGACGTTGGGTGGCTGAGATCTGCCTGGACCCTGTAAGACCTCGCAGATCCCAACACCCACCTGGCGTGCGGATGGAGCAGCATCCCGCACTTGTTGGGCCAGCCTGGCCAATGTGTTGACCAGCAGACACTGCCGGTCAAACTCCTCCCGCAGTCCCTTCCCGCAGCAGCAGAGCAGAGCTGCCAACAGGTACTGGTAGCGGATGCTGAACTGGGAATCTTTCAGGCCATCCTTCAGCAGCCTACCCGCAGCACAAGCATTGTGGGGTCAGGAACGTCCTGGAGCCACCCAGCCCTCTCTTGGTTCCCTCAGACTCACCAGAAGAAATAGTGGGTGATTTTCAGGTCGCAGATTGCTCGCTTCATGAGGAAGCGCACCAGTGGGCTGTCCAGGTAGCACTCATACTTCAATGCCTGGATTAGGGGAAGAGAGGATAGTTCTGGGGTGCAGCAGGATCAGCACATGCCCC